GGCAATGGCGGACGGTGACGGGCGGCGACAGACTGTGGCGCCGGACAGATATTACGAGACAGAAACCAGAAGGGGATCAACCCGCTTTTATACCAACTTGAGAATTAAACTATAAAATAATTCTAGAGGGCTTGATTGATCCCTCTCATGATCTTCTATTTATAAGAATAAATTGATACAAAAGTACATAATAAATAAAGTAACCCTAGACACAATATAATCATGATAAATAGGATAATCATAGACACAATATAATCATGATAAATAGGGTAACCCTTGACACACTATAATGATGCCTAACACTAAGAGTACTTGAGGTTGAAGTCTAATAATTTGGCACAATCATCTACAAATCTCAGCTCATCAACAACTTGCATCTCACAATCCATGGTGATTCAAAATCCATAGATAATTGACTGAGATGCTTCTGATCACATTTATGATAATATATAATTGTTCTTGTCCCTTTCTTTTGCAAAAAACTCTTAATTCATAACCTTATCCAGTTGTTCTAATGTTTCCTCAAAGGGAGTTGGTCAAGTTTTCCTTTATCCTTCCTTAAATCTATAATTTGTCCTTTTTGTTCCTGCTTGTCCTTTTAATCTAATATCATTAAGTGAATTAACCAAGTCTTTAAATTACTCAATAATCTTTGATGCCAATTCTTTTGTCATCCAGGAGCGTGGTATGGTACGAGACAACTGATTGGAGAAGGACATGAATCTAGATGTTTATACTATTTTGGATGTAGTCCACATGTGCTCGTTTTGCACCAAATCTTATGACAACTACCCTCTTATGATAAAACTTTAATAGTTAGATGGTATATTTTAACATCTTATAAGTTTCATGTTTAGAAGCTTCCATACAATGACAATGACTAGAAAACTAAAAGCATGATTTGGTAGGTCACCTTACATTGTAATTAAATGAAATAAAGAAACCCAAATATTCGTCGGAGAAAATTGTGACAATGGACGACAGCGAAGGATGGCACCAAGCGGAAAAGAGCAATGGAAAAGGCATTGGAGAAGATGGAGACCAGCAAAGCGGGACCAACGCACACTGATACCAACTTAAGACTAATAAGAGAGAAAATATATTTTAGGGGGCATAACATACCCCTCTTATGATCTTATATTTATAAGGATAGAAAATTGATACAATGAGAAGATGGAAGATCAAAATAAGGTACAACTCATAGGTACAACAAGTAGTAGTTCCCAACACAACTACTTTCTACCCAAATTTAATACTTATTCTAACACTCCCCTTCAGTAATCATGTAAAAGTTTAAAGTTGGGACGGTTGATTGCCTGTGTTGGAATGAAGAAAAATTAGATTTGGTTATCTGCAATCGGTGGATTGATCAATCTAGCAAAGAAGGACACGGTGAACGGACTACTGAGTATGGAGTTCGAGAAAAGGTTTTTGTAAAAAATGTGTGTTCGACAAACATGTGAAGACCACTTTTAACACTTGTAGAACAGATTTCAGCCTACAAATATATTGTTATACTGTTGACATAATAAGAAATAGAAAACACCCTTTGTGTACACAACATATTTGAGTAACCTGATCCTGACCCACATGTCAGTTGCACCGGTTTATACCAAAAAAAAAATATTCTTAACCTATTAACCAGTTCCACCTGCATTTCACCTTTTTCTTTTCTTTATCCGATTTGTAGGCCTTAGTTTGATAATAATTTGCACTCCCTTCTAATCATCTTTTTCTCTTGCCTTTCCATTTTTTCTCTGCAATTATTTTTTTCTCACTATTAATGAATGCTTTAGTTTTGAATAATTTTGGGCATGCATAGTATGTAATCTTAATTATTTAGCCTGATCTAAAACTTAACTATTACAACCATTCTGCTATCCAACATCACACTGCAGCCATTTCAGGATCAACCGCACGGAATTGTTAACTGATTTAAAAGGAATATTGTTTTTCCTGTATGTGAAGCAATAGATAAACAATATTTTGAAAACCAAAATCAAAGCACTTGTTAAAACATTTTTGAAGATTGGGTCATTGTCTCCTTCATTTCCCAGCACCTCCTACTTATACAATTTCTTTCATCTCATGGTACTAATATTGTTGTCTGTTTATCCTTGTCAGGTGTGTAAAAATGGTTCATTTCACTTGCGAGGAAATGTGTATGTACAATACAAAGCTTTGGATTCTGCGCTGCTCGCAGCAAACTTAATAAATCGTCACGATTTTACCGGAAAACGGGTATCACATTTCAATATTGTTTTTGTCAAATGAAATTGTTAATGCTACAAGTATGATTATATGAAATATCATTAAAGCTTCAAGTAATTCACTTGCCTTTGAGTAATTTTCGATAATTGATCCATCATGTAACTTGTGCTATATTGGAGAAAAATCTGAAAATGTTTGATACAAAACTGGTTCAAGGTGGAGCACATTTTGGTGAGAATGAGGCTGTGGAAGTTTAGTTCTGTATAAAAAGTTTAAATGTTTGATACATTGGATGTTCAGACGAATTTCTCAATTCATATGTTTATCTCATCAGGCTATGCTTTATGGCAGGTAACTTGTCAATTTGTTAACTTGACAAGATGGAAGGTTGCCATATGTGGCGAGTATATGAAATCGGGTTTCAAGGTGAAATGTCTACCATCTCATGATTTTTCTTTCTTGGATCCGACCAGGTCCTTCTGGGTTTCATTGTGCAAATCATATGAAATATAAAATCTCTTGGTTAACAACAGAAGCTTTTGACTTCAAAAAAGATGTTAGGAAATGTTTTATATTATGAAGCATGCTCACAGTGGTGTTCCTTTCTTGCATCATAACAGACTTGTTCTCGCGGAACAGCATGCAATTTTATTCACTGTTTTCGTAATCCTGGTGGAGACTATGAATGGGCTGATTCTGACAAACCTCCCCCAAAATTTTGGGTAGAAAAGATGATTGCTTTATTTGGTTATTCTGATGATTATGAGACTTCAAGGGAGCAGGGAAATTTTAGTTTGTCAAAAACAGATTCTGACAGGTGTGCTTTCATTTTAATATTGCTGATTACATTACATATGATGGATTAAATTGGTTGCTGGACACATCGTAACCAATGTAGATGGTTGTAAATTTAGGATGATATGATGGGGGATGATTGTTTGCGATTGGTGTTAAGGTTCACGTAAGGGCAAGGCTTTTAGAGCAGGCGTGATGCAACTTCTGTTTAATATATTTTTTAATAATTCATTCAAAGGATCAGGGTCAAGAATCTTCTAGAGAGAATCTGAATTTCTTTATTGTTTCAGAACAAACAAAAAATAATAATCAAGCCTTTCTCACTAGGCAGGGTTGACTAGATGGATTAATCGTGCCATAATATTCTGTTGTAAATCATGCTTATTGACAAACCATTAGCTTCAAAATCCTTATTTGTTTCACCTATGGTTTTTCAGGATCTGCTTCTATCTATCCTCCATTTGATTTACTCTCTTTGTTAGGTTTTCCCAAACCATCAATAATAAGAATTTACCAGCTTCTGTACAGTAGGCAACTTTTTCTTTAATCCGTCCTTTTCTAATACTATCTTGTCTAGTTAATCGAATGTAGCATTCTCATGTCGTGTACATTAAGTTTAGTTTTGTCAGCCTTTCTTGGATTAGCATTCAGTTCTACACAACATTACATGTCTTATAAGTGGGTACATTTTAACGTGGATAACACTTGAGTCACTCTTCCATTTCTTTCTTTCTGCATGAATCCTATGGTTTACATCACCTATTTCTCTATGCCTTTTGTGATGAACCTTATATACTTAATCTATGTAACTTGTGGAGGAACTATCTAAAACTTCCTATCAAACAGAGGAAAAGTTTTTAAAGAGATTGTAGAGTTTTACTTTCTTCATGCCTTGTATGATGAACCCTAGATACTTAAGCTATGTAACTTGTGGAATAGCAACGTAAAACTTCCTATCAACTATAAGAAAAGTTTTTTAGGACTCCATTGTAGAGTTTTGCTTTCTCCCTTGCTGCATCAAGGGAAACAACTAAAGTTGTGGCTAAAAAAATTGGTGTGAAGAAAATATTACTTGGAATAATTTTTCCGTGTGAATTTATACTTGTTCTCTATCATAATGCTTTGAAGGTACCACTGTAGAAGGTCAAGATCCAGAGAGACGGATCAGATAAGTTGTGGTCATTCTGGTAGAAGAAAACATGAAGATGAAAGAAAGCAAAGAACTCCGTATGAGGATCGGAATGCTAGCTTAAAAAACACTCATAAAAGAAAATCCAGAGGCAGAACTCCTGATACTGATTCTGACAGAGAATGGTTAGAAAAGGAGGAAATTAGGGAAAGACGCCATGAATACACTAGGAATGGCTCATTTAATAAGAACAGGGATGAAAATAGCAGAAGCCACGAAGAGGATTCTGATATGGATTGTGATACTAGGGACAATGAAAAGCAGCATGGAAGAAACCCAAGAAAGTGCGACAAAGACATCAGGGTCTGGATTAATGAGGCTGCTGGTTTGGATGGGGACAGAGATGTGAGAAAGCACCGTATTAGGGAAAGCTCAGGACATCAGAGTGGTGACGCTTCTGAATCCAACAAAGATTTGTTTGGTAGAGTGGAGATGGAAACACTACATGATCACTTTAGGAAAACATATAGTCACAGAAGATCGGGTGTTCAGGTGTCTGTAAAAGGAAGAGATCAAAACGGCAAAGTTGATAGAGACGGGTCCCGGAAGGACAGTTACAAACGAGATCATCACAAAAGGAAGTGATCAATAATAAGTGATAAATACACAGAAGAATTTGATTCCCATCAGTGTGGAGAGCAGCAGAGAGTGGATATCAATTGGTGGAACTAATCATACTTAGAATTTTTGTCCCCATGAAAGTTTAGTGTATTTTATTTTTACATTTCTTCCCATATTTATTCTTTTTTTTTTTTCCTAAACCTTCCGCTTTTTCTATTGATGATATATCTACGAATATTAAAATCCCTCGAAAGCCATAACTCCAGTGTCCAATTTTATTTTTACGAAAAGCGTACAGCAGCATATGATTAATGTAAATTCACTTCAATGCATGCTCAACACAAGGAAATGAGACAAACACTACAAGAAGGTTTTATTGAAAGATTTAATCCATGTAAACGATGGAGGGATATGAGCTGAAGGATGAAACAACCTTCGACACTATTAAAGTTCTATTTTATCTCCAAGCACTTAAAAGAAGCTACCATGTTGGGTTATTGATTGAAATCAAACTACTCAGATTTGAAAACATGGAAATAAGCAGCGAAACACATAAGAACCAAATCTACAAACACGTCCAAATTGACCACTTGACCTTTCTCTTTCACGTATTGTGGCTGTATGAATTGCTGGAACTGGAATCCCATAAACAGGTTCTGTCATATAGTGGTGATATGTTGATGAGTTTCGGGTGCAGCTGACAGTGCTGGGATCGTGCGGTTGGGCCACTTCCGTCTGCGGCAAGAATGTTCCATAGCTGTGTTCTTCAATATGAATCCACGAAGAAGGTAAGGGTGGAGCTGATGGCTGGGTGTTGGATGAGGAACAAGAGCAGCAACAGTAGTGTGGTTCATGCTCATGCCTCTTCTTCTTTCTTTTCTTTTTGGACCACAACCTCAGTTTCTTCACAGCTTTGATCACGTTTTTCATCAACCTTCAAATGGGATTACGGATTTGCATTGGCATTTGCATATATACAACTTTGAAAACTGATGCACCGTTATAGAAATAGGAATAGGAGCGCCCTCAAAGACGTTTTCATTACTTTTCAAATATTTTACCGTTATCTATCCACTACTATTCTACACTTTATTTACGTTACATCGATAGCTCTTTTATTTATTATGATTTCTCTGATCTAATCCAATTCCTCATATTTAAGCTGTTTAAAAAGCTATTGCTTCCTAGATTCCCACAATTACTAACTTACCCCTACAATAAGATAAAAAGACGAACTCATCACTGTTCCACAACCACTACCGTCATAGTCACCAACACCTCGTCATTATTAATGCTGTTGTAGAGGAAGAATAGTGGGAGAACGATGAAGGGGAAGAAAAGAGAAAATGCGAAACTCTTTCCGAAGGAAATTATTAGTATAAAAGAAGTTATAATATGCGAAACTGTTGCAGGGTGCCGAGTCATTGCAAGAACTCACCAATCACCTAACCTAATCCAGCTGTCATAATATTCAGATGAAACTTGTCCACAAAAAAAAAATGAACTGCTTTCCAGAGGAAATTATTAGTATAAAAGAAGTTTAGATCAGATTGTGTACAGCTCTGCAAGGTAAAAATTGGCTCGATATACATACATTAAATAGTATGTATATTATAAAAAGTTATATATACAGAAATGATACATCGCATCAAGTGAATTACAAAAGAACCAAAATAAACACATGCATGCATAGTGGTAAGATACTCAACCAAAAGACATTTCTTCATGCTCGCAGCAGCCCAATAGAAAACGGAGCTATGAAAGAAATAGAAAAACCAGAACACCCCTAGCCTTATCTCTCAAGGTTGGGTAAACAGCATAATATCACATCAACCCTCTGCTTGGGTGCTGCCATGCTGTTCCTGTAGACATGCATAATACACCAATGACATCCTCCTTACAGGCAATGAGGAAATGTTTGCCAGGTTCATGTCGTTTCTCCTATAGGCCATGATGAAGTGCTTGTCCGGTTCATACACGTTTCTTTCACGTTCTACTTCCTACTTCCATGCAAATATCTACTGTATAACAACTGAAATATTGGAAGACCTAAGACGTTAACAACCGGACCCCACAATAGATGACTGGTCCTCAGGATTGACTACTGCTTCAGAGTCCATTTTGCTGGGTTTAACTTCCTCACTGATGGGAAGTCCTATTTTAGGTGAAAGCTTCTTCACCTCCTCGGCAGTATAGATGAAAATTTTCCTCACAATGCTACAAAACTCACTGAAGTAAAAAAGCAAGACATAATTAAATATACACAGTTGTAAAATGTGATGCCACAAATAAAGTGTCCAAGTAGTCTCATAATCTTACAGCCATGGGTCATCCCCAACCATCATCATATCGTCTTCATTATCAGTGTACACAACCTGCCATTTTTTTGGGGATCCACAAAGTTCATCCTTGATGTCAAACATTTCTTCCAATTTCCTTAGCAGATCCTCATATCCATCAAACCGTGTTAAATCCACCGCCCTTCCAACTGCCATACCTTGCATGTGAACCTGGAATAATGTAAAACTTGAATTATAAATAATTTTATTACTAATATCAGGAGCTAAAAATAATCATACAGATCTGAAAAGTGAAGATGCTAATATGCAATATATATAACTTGACGTAGAGTCAACTAAATTTGAAAAACACGAAATTATGCCTACTGCCAAGAATATTACAGGATTGTAAACTGAATTTCAAAATCAGAAAATTATGCCAACAAAAATAAATAGGACTACCTTTGTGCAGCTTCTTATTTGCCTGCTCTGAGACTCATGGGGAGACCGCAGGCATGATTTTTCAACATCACAACTTACCGAAGGAATATCGGATCGATTAATATTTGACGGTTCCGAATGCTGGTCAGACTCAGCATCCAAAGATGGAAGGGGGACATCATCACCCAACCTTCCTGACAAAGTGACCATTGGTAGGCTTTCTTCCCCATTAGCATTATCAAGTAACTGAATCCCAAAGAGCCTACACCCATTTGCAGTCCCATTCCTCTTCTCTCCAGATTCTTTAAGTGCTACAGGTAAAAACGACTCTGTAGAGTTTTCTGTCCTACTAGACCAATATATTGATTTGTTGGAAGCAGAACAGTTCCCACCAAAACCAAGGAAGCCAGTTGCAGTAGAATTGAATTTGGCCGGTGGATAGATGTCTCGTCCGTGTTGATGGTCACGATAAGAGAATGGTGCAGAATCAACTGGTGATTTCCTTACACCTGATCCATACGAAATAAGAAAATTTGAGTCAAAGCAAACACAAACAAAACAATTTTATGGGCAAATTATGTGTGCTCAAGTCACCTTGCAGAGAAGAATCAGCCAATGTTGAAGGAAGAATGGGAGGCCGTGATCTCTTGTTTCTTTGGGAAGGCTGGGAGTTTGTGGGAGGAGTAGACACAAGTGGCTCCAATTCCCATGGAGAAACTCTATCAGGACGCAAAATAGAAGACGGTTCATCCCATTGAACCTGAAATTCTATGGTTCATCAGACTAATGAACGCAAAGCTGCTAGGTAAATTTCAAATCCTAGTAATTTATTGAGCTTTTAAATAACATCTCTTTCCCCATGAGTCAGTGTCCCACCATCAAGGAAATATCTTTATTACTAGATTGTTCCATACACAAAGCATCATCATTACTTACCTTTATTGACCAATTCAAAGAGAAGGAAGAATAATTTCTGTGTTTTGACTAACCAAAATTAAAACATACTGGGAAAGCTTTTAATAATATTTAATTCCACCAAATGCAAACAACAAAAGATAAAAAAAATAAAATAAAAATCGAAGTTTAAAGCCATACTGACCTTTAATGATCGCCACTCAGAATTAGTCCAGACTGACGATTTATTATCTCCAACACCCACGATCGTACCACTGAACCTGAAGAGGGGGGAGGGGGTTGAGTTGACAGATTGTGCAAGGCACTAAAATAAAAATATAATTTTTCAAAGTAACCAGGTAGTTCACCTTCTTTCAGGAACTTCATCACCCTCAAATCTCATTTTGAATCTCATTCCAACAGAAAGTTTATGACTTTGAGCTTCAAGATACTTGTTGACACTCACAATAAACTCAGACCGGCTAGTTCTACAAAATAAATATTAAAGCAACAAAATCAAACTTAAATGTCATCCTGGTCAAATTATTTCATCAATAAAGAAAAGAGTCCGCTAATTGCATGAAGGCAGGCATACAAATGTACAGATACATGAAAACACAATTATATGTTAGTTCAAGGTATCATCAAAGTTAGCAGGACATCGTGAGTTGGGCAAGAACACCATCACTGATAACACTTATGAGATAACTAATAACTTCATAGCATTAAATACGATACCTGGGCTTGTAAAATACAGAAAACAAGGTTCCTGTGGCAATGGCATGAGATGCAGTGGCAAGAACACCCAGATGCATACTATGACTAGATATAACAGAAGATGGCATGTTGCCTTGCTGTCTCATGAGCCTCCTAACTCCAACTCGCAGCTCTCCATTTTCACCCCTGGAATTGCATACAAGGAAAGTAAAAAACCACAATCCTTAACAAAGGGGGAAAAGAAAATGAAAAATTTGCAATGTCTTGCACTCAGAGGAAGGTACAAAACTTCAACTAAACAACTTGCCTTAAGAATATAAATGCATCACCAGCCACTAACTTTTTGGAACTGACAAAGACACTCCACCCAGTAGTCAGTAAGTGGCGCCTGGGTTGCCCTGCAGATTACTCTGCACAGTCAGGAACTTACTGACATTATGAACATCAAAGCTAATTTCATCATCCCATATTATACAGGTGGTGGATAACATAATAGCAGGGTGTTCCAGTGAAAACCCACAAAGTAATGAATGTCATCCAGATTTACAAAACAAAACCTTTCCTAGAAAAGCTACTGAGTAAAATTCATTCACCGTAAAATTAAATATAACAGGCCATGCGAAATGTTAACATTAAAGTAAACTATACACCCCAAAAAGCAAAAAACCCGAGAGAAACTCTATATTATCAATTAGAGAAAGATGAAGCTATAGGTAAGCTAGCAATAGGAAAAAGTGATACCACAAACATACATTACAGAAAAAATTGATACCATATATACAGGAAACGAATCCCTTTCTAAGTACAACTCTACAAACATTTTATAATGAGCATGTCAGGCAAAATACAAAAACTTCCCAATTTTTACTTTTAAAACTTGGTTATGTATTCAAAAAGCAGTGTGCTTACTCACCAAATTTAACCTACAGTAATACGCAATGCCCACACCCTGTAATGGGTTTTCATGATAAAACAGCCCAGAGATTGGGGTGGGGAGCTGCAAGCTACTTACCTCGAAAAATATGTCTAAAATGCCATTCATTGCCATGCAAATCAGTTGCAACCAATTCTTGCCATGGTGGCTGCTGCGTCATATCCTGAACAAAACATGGAAATTATATAGTAAAGCAAAACTGATGATCAGAACGATCAAGTGTGTCCAATGACATTTAGAAAGGCAACAATTACTAACCAGAGGTGGCAGACAATCATCTGCATGTCTTCGAAGAACAGAGAAACCTCCATGAGTACTAGTGTCAGAAGCAGTGAGAGTCTTGCAGAACGAATGAACAGTACATCTTGGAGGTTCTGGTAGAGGATCGTCAGGGCTTGTCACCTCACTTTGCTAAACCAAAAAGACAGAAAATAAGAAATAAACAATGAGAATAAAAGAACACTAAATGGGCGTGAAAAAAATATGAATGGAAAATGTGTTGAGAGATAGTCGAAAACAACATAACATGTTTAAATAAAACAACCATGTCAAGCAAAGAATAAGAGCATACTCACATCTGCTTCAGGAAGTAAAGTTATTTGTGCATATACTTCATCTGTTTCAGGTTCAGCCTACGTGAACAGCATGAATTTAACCATAGAGTA